ATCAGAATATTGAACCTAATTAATAAAAAAGAAAAATGCATAGTCATGATCATTTTAACAGAATGAAAAAAAAAACTTTCAGTTCAAACTTCTTATTTATTTATCTGAACAAAAGTGAGACTTGGTTAAAATTTAGTTTGAAGTTAATATAAGCAGTATTTGTATCAAAAAGACTAGAAAGTAGACAACTAAGGCTCGAGTAGATTTTAGTGTTGTCTCTCACTAATAAAACAGGAAGATGGTCGACAAAAACAAAAATCTTTAAAACAGAAACAAGAGGGATTAAACTTCTAGTATATAAAYGTATTTCAAAGACGACAGGAAGCTCGATGCTCCAAAAACTCATTCGTACCTTAATTATTACTTGGTTCAAATTGGAAACCAGAAAACCCAGACATGGAGTCTATAATAAAGATTTTTATGAGCYGTCGAGCTCTAAAACGCCTACCCTGATGTGTAAAACTGTTACCTGAGTAAAACATTTCAACAGTAAAAACTAAAACCCACATCCATTTTCTTTTTCCAACCAGCCACCAGTTTTATCCCACTCCCACAGTACGTACAGAAGAAAAACACTATATTAGACCAGAATAATGCAGTCCAACACCAAACCACCCCATCAGAAACTACAGCTTTAAATCAACGTATGAAATTCTTCTTAATGATCCTAAAAGGTTTCCACTTGATTGTAGCGGTTGTGATTCAACTAAAAAAAATCAGAAACAGATTTTTTTTTTCATATTTGCAGAAAATCATATTTTCCATTTTTGAGCACAGACTTCTCTAATTAAAGTGCTTCAACATTATTTTGACAACTTTAGTTTGTAGATATTAAAGTTACAAACATAGAAGTATCTAAAAGAAACGTGGTTCTTCTCCATAATTTATCACTTTTTCAGACAAGTTGTCATTTTTTCGTATCAATAAAAGCCTTTTTCCTGTGGAAGCTCTCCATGTTATTGCACAAAATAGACACACTTGGTGTGATGTTCAGAAACGTTAGTTGTAGCTTAAAGTCTTTCTGCTCACAGGATTTCTTCTCCAGTGAGCCGTTAAAGACGTCTGAAACGGTGTGACCCTTCGCTCCAGGAAGTCGTGGTCAGTTGAAGAGCGATTTAAATATTTGGGCTTCTATTTTTGACGTAGAGAGGTGGAGGAGGGGGGGGGAGATAAAGGCAGTTAAGATAATACCGGTGGAACTTGTTGAAGGTCAGGCGTGTTGTACTGCCAGCTCCTGTCCGATGAACCGCCGCAGACGGTCCAGATACTGGCTGTAYAGCTCCACGTCGTTGTGCCCCGCCCCCTCCACCCACAGAGGCTCCACCGCCTTTGGGCAGCGCTCGAACAGGGCCAAGCCGTGAGAGAAGTCAATCACCTCATCCTCTGTCCCGTGGATGATGAGCACCGGAGACGTGATTTTTGACACTTTCTCGATGCTAAAAGTGAGGGGGGAGAAAAAGGAAACACAAATGTCTGAAAACAATCAAATCAGACCAGGTTAGAGAAAAATAATAACCAAACGTGGCGATGTCGTTTAGTCTGAAACACGTTTGTTTATATTTTTATCTAAACAACGATACTGACATCTTTAAAYGACAAAAGCAGGTTTATGTTTGATTCAACCAATACATGACAACAGGGCTGGCCCTGGCTAACTTGATGCCCTAGGCCAGAGACTCTTAACCCATGAGCGCCACCTTGAGGACCTCAAAGGAACAATGGTTTTTAACTTTGGGCTGCAGAGGGCCGTGGGACCACACTGATTTTGAATAAGGTGCAATACACTTTCTCACCACTACCTGCAACAGTGCGCCACTCAGTTGTTTAACACCTTTTTTAATATGTAGAAGAAGAACCTTAGAAACCTGCTGAGAATGGAAACTTATTTAAAATGAAAAATAGAAACAATAATGAAAGTAACTCATGAAAAAACACCAAAGT